GAGGCTGAACACGATGCCCGCCCTTGGGTGGGTTGATGGCCCCTTTGGGTGGGGACATGGACTCCCATAGTTGCACCCTTCTCTCCTGCCTCCCTGGGGTGTTGACTGGTCTCTGCCTTGCAGGTTTCAAGCTGAACAACAAGCTGCATCAGGTGGTGGTGGCCCGCTATGCAGATGATGACATGGGAGTGGACTTTGACAACTTTGTCTGCTGCCTCGTGAAGCTGGAGGCCATGTTCAGTGAGTGTGGCTCTGGGGCAGGATGGGCAGGCACAGAGGGGCGCGTTGCTCACCTTGCTCTTGTGCCCCTGTAGGGTTTTTCCAGAGCATGGATGCTGAAGGCACTGGCACAGCCGTCATGAACCTCACTGAGGTGAGAGCTCAGTTCAGAGGGAGGTAGGGTGGGAGACAAGGAGATCAGGCACTAGGGTGAATGGGGCACAGTGGGTGGGTGGTAGAAAGTCCTCCAGCCCTTAGGGTAAGGAACCCATGAAAGATCAAGATGAGAAAGTGGGATTGCTGCAGGCTCCACGTTTCTCATCCCTTCTCCCTCTCCTTCCCAGTGGCTGGTGCTGGCGGGTGGGGCTATGACTGGGACACCCCAGCAGCCCAGGCCCCCTTCAAGTGCCTCCCCTTGGATCTATGGACACCGGATACTCTTCCCTCCTTGCTCCATCCCACGCTGAGCCGTCAGCCCTGCCTCTTGGCAAGCCTTATGCCACCCTTTCCAGTGGACCAGGGGTCAAGGCAGGCAGGGGATGCCCTTCTCCTCTTCTGAGCTAGGTGTCTTCCCACTCCTGTCTCCCCAGCCCAGAAGAGGAGGAGGGCAGGCAGCACAGAGTACCTGTGCATCCCTGCACCAAGCTGGGCAGGAGTGAAGGAGTGGGCTGGGGCCAGCTGCGAAGCAGGGAGAAGCAGGACCTGCAGGGGAAAGGGGAGGACAGGACTCATCACTTGCTCTAGTGCTGCCCCATCTCCACTAGCACGTGTTTCCTGTCTCTGTGCCCATGCCTGTCAGTATCAGCAGGTACTGCCTTGCTCAGGCAGAGGCAGCAGGTTCCTAGGGAGCTGCAGTGGCTTTCTGGGAGGAGGAAGGGCTGTACTCTTCTTCTTGATGCCCTTGCACTGCATTCATCACCGCTAAACATGACCAAAGCATGGAGCCCACTGGCTCCTTTTGCGTGGCCTTCAACACATCCCTCCCATCTCCATGCCTATGCCTTTGCCCCACCGCTGGGTCAAGCCCTGCAACTTAAGCACTGCATGAACATGTGCTACTCTGTAGTGCAACAGAAGCTCCTCTCTTCCACATGGACACAGCAATGCCACCACTGTCACAGTGGTTCAGCCTCCCATCCTATCCCATCCCTGGGAGTTCCTGGGGCATCCATGCCCCTGCTCATGGCCCCCAGCAGGACAGGGGGTGGGCAAAACCCAAGAGGCAATGCCTTCCCCCAAGAGAGAAGGGGTTGGTGGTTTGAAGGGGGTGTTCTGCACACGTTGGAGTTTCTTCCTGCTTTCTTTCACCATCCCACACAGTAACACTCTCCTCTTCCCTTGGTCTCCTTTGCCCTGTGCAGATGGACCCCAGTGCCACCATTCTTGCACTTGTCTCTGTTTTTCCCCTTCTCTTCTCCTGGGTTAACAGGGTGGCTCCAGCTTGGCAGTGGGTGATGGCCAGTCCTCTGCAGGTGGGCAGTTAGCCCACCCCAGCCCCCTGTCATGGCTGGAGGATGTGCCTGCAGCAATAACCACCACTGCCCGCCCGGTAGCTCCGCTTCCTCGCCCCACTCACCATGCGCTCCAGGAATAAACATATCTGTTGGATGTGTGGCCCTGGGATAGTGACTCTGGGGTTGCGTCCTCCCTCTGCTCACTGTGGCCTGGGTTGGGGGGAGATGAGATGCAGAGCCAAGACCAGGGCACACAGCTCACACACAGCCTGGGTCATGGGTGGAGGAGCACCACAAGGTGCAGGTCTTGTCTTGGGAATGGGGGTTCTGTATCACCTAGGATTTTATAACTCACCTCTTCCTCTGCAGGGGAATCTTAACACACAGGGGAAGCACCGCATAAGAAAGGTGTAAGGAAGAACTGCTCCTCAAAGTGAGAGCGAGCAGTATGCTCTTAGCAGGGCTGTTTGGTTATCTGAGGGATTTTTCAAGTGAAGGAAAAGCCAGTGCTTGCTCCATGGTGTCAGCAGCAGCAGAGGTGCATCTGCTTTTAAAGAAAGGGGAGGAAAAGTCTTGGGGAGGTTGGGTAGAGGAAAAGGGTCTGCTTGGACAGCATGGACTTAACCATGGAGCGGGTGGGAATGGAGGGCAGCCTGGAGCTCTGGATGCTGAAAAGGGACCACACAAGGATGTGACCTTGGATGGGGGCTGTGGGAGGTTGGTTGTTTCCCCTGATTCTTTTGAGACTATGCAGATTACAGCTGAAGGCAGAAGCCTTCCACAAATACGACAGTGGAGGGCTGGTTGGCGGGGTTCTTCACTGCGTGGCTCGGAGCAGGACTTGCTGGCACCCTAGAAGGGCATCACAGCCCAGACAGCCCCAGGGAGACTCAGCATTTGGAAAAGGAGTGCCCTTGTGCAGCTCATCCCCCCCAGCATCTCAGTATCCCTTGTGTGGGTGCTGTTTGTGCCAGCCCAGCTCTCTGGGACCAGTCTCCCCACCACGCAGCTCAAGCTGGCTCAGAGCATGGAGGTGAACTGAGGTGCAATGACAGGAAGGAGCATCCCCCCTGCTGCCTCCCCAGGCTGCCTATCTCCAGGGCTAGATGTAGGTGTGGGCTATTTGCACTTGGCTACCTGTGAGCTGAGCTGTGCCCCATGGGGTGGGGGTACCTTGGGGCTTGGCAGCCTGAGGTCCCTGCTTCTGCATTCAACCCAAAAGCCCTTAGAAAACAAAGGTTCAGGTGGGGCTGGGACACAGGGGCAAGCATGCAGAGCTGTTGCTGCTATCCCAGCTGCGGGGCCTTGTCATGCACACACAGGCCCAATTGTAGGGCAGGGCGACAGCCTGGCTTTGGAATGACAGGTGCCCCCATAGCATTACCAGAAGCCCCCTCCTTCCTTCCCTCCCTCTGATGCCAGCTGGCACATCCCTTCCCTTGCCGCCCGGCAGCTGGCAGTCCAGTACTGGCTGGGGGGCGGCCGGGGGGGGGGGGCGCGCTGCC